TTGATGATGATATGGATGATAATGATGATGATGATGATGATGATGATGATGATGATGATGATGATGCTGATGATGATGATGATGATGATGATGATGATGATGATGGTGATGGTGCTGGTGATGGTGATGGTGATGGTGATGGTGATGGTGATGATGATGAGGAGGAGGAGGAGGAGGAGCGAGGAGCGAGGATCGAGGATCCAGGGTCCAGGATCGAGGATCCAGGATCCAGAGGGTCCAGGAGCAAGGATCGAGGATCCAGTGTCTAAGGTCGAGGATCGAGGGTCCAGGAACGAGGATCGAGGATCCAGGGTTCAGGATCGAGGATCCTAGATCCAGAGGGTCCAGGATCCAGGATCCAGGGTTCAGGATCCAGGGTTCAGGATCCAAGGTCGAGGATAGAGGATCGAGGATCCAGAGTCCAGGATCGAGGATCAAGGATCCAGGATCCAGGACCAGGATCGATGATCCAGGATCCAGGATCGAGGATCGATCGAGGATCCAGGAGCGGAGATCCAGGATCCAGAATCGAGGGTCCAGGATCTTGCAACCAGGATCGAGGATCGAGGATCTTGGATCCGGTATCCAGGATCCAGGATCGAGGATCAAGGATCAAGGATCTTGAAACCGGGATCCAGGATCGAGGATCGAGCATCCATGTTCGAGGATCCAGGATCAAGGATCCAGGATCAAGGATCCAGGATTCAGGACCAAGGATCGAGGATCGAGGATCGAGGATCGAAGATCGCAGATCGAGGATCCAGAATCCAGGATCCAGAATCCAGGATCCAGGATTCAGGATCCACGATCGAGGATCCAGGATCGAGGATCATGGATCCGGGATCGAGGATCCATCGTCGAGGAGCGAGGATCCAGGATCGAGAACCGAGGATCCACGACCGCTGATCGAGGATCGAGGGCTCGAGAATCGATGATCGAGAAATCGAGGATCGAGGATCGAGAATCGATGTCGAGAACCGACGAGCGAGGATCGCGGACTGAGGCACGCTTCGTCTGCCGGGCTCCGAGCCACGGGGCACGCAGCGCCTGCGGGCGTCGAGCGGCGAGCACAGCTGCGCCGGCACCGCGCGCGAGCCAACAACACCTCGAGCTGGTTCGGGTATAGCCAGGAGGAGGAGGAGGAGGAGGAGGAGGAGGAGGAGGAGGAGCAGGAGGGGGAGGAGGAGGAGGAGGAGGTGGAGGAGGAGGAGGAGGAGGAGGAGGAGGAGGAGGGGGATGATGATGATGATGATGATGATGATGATGATGATGATGATGATGATGATGATGATGATGATGATGATGATGATGATGATGATGATGATGATGATGATGATGATGATGATGATGATGATGATGATGATGATGATGATGATGATGATGATGATGATGATGATGATGATGATGATGATGATGATGATGATGATGATGATGATGATGATGATGATGAGCTGGTTCGGGCATAGCCAGGACCCCGGTTAAGGGTGCCCCGAGGAGGCCAAGGCACTCGCCAGTCGACCCAGAGATCCGACGTCGCGATTTTTGTCAATGCAGGGTCCAGGGAAGTCCCGACCCCTTCCCCGGGGCCGGCTCTTCAGCCCGAGCTGCTTTTTGACGGCCCCGAGGCCCGGCGAGGGCCTCTGGAAGCCGAAAATGGCCAAAAACCTCGCCGGTTAGTGATTGGGCCCCGAAGCCCAAAATATGGACTGGAATCACTAAACCAGGTTTGCCGCAGCTGGTGTTTTTCGGGTGACGGCAGTGCCGGTTAGTGGAATGGGGCGCGGGGGGGCGTTCCCCAATACACATCCCTAAACCAGGTCCCACTAAACCCAGTCCCGCCAACGCCCGACTGGTTGTCACCTTGGCAGGCGGAGCCAACAACACTCAGGAGGGGAAAAAAAACACAGACACAATGAATCGTCGATGCCCCCGAAAAAATGGGAAACTGTGGGCAGTGGGGGGGAAGACAGAGCCCCAGAAAATAGAGGAAAATATATGGGGAATCCGGCCATTTGTGTCTATGTATTATTTGTGTGTCCCAGAGCCCCTTCAAACACCTCGAGCTGGTTGTCACCTTGGCAGGCGGAGCGCGCAGAGAAGAGGGCTGCGAAGGGGGCGCGCACAGGCTTCAAGTCGGGCCCGCCCCTCTACGCAGGGGGAATCTTCAAAAGTAGTCAGACAGTCTAGTCTGGGGACGATTTTCGGGGGGCATTTTCGGACCATTCTGGAGCATTTTCGGAATCTTTTTTATCTTTCGTCGAAAAGCCCCCTGCATGGGGGACAGGCCCGACCTGACACAAGCTGTGGCCCCCCCCCCCCCCTCCCCCCCGGGCACAGCGCCTCAGACCTGCAGGCGCCGGCGGGGCAGAGGCCCCTCCCGCCTCCGCCCCCGGCGCGCCCTCGGAGGAGGGCCCTCGCCGCCAGAGGCCCGCTCCTCTGCGACCACTGGCTGCCCTGCTGCGCCCGTGCTGACGCGCGGCACCCAGAGAGCCAACGTATTGAAAAAATCAGGACGCAGG